TGTCATAAAACAATGTGTGTACTGACTGTTTAATGAGAAACTATTTGTTCTGTAAACCTTCACCTAAAGTACAAATAAAAATAAAAAAGTAGATAAAATTGAAAAGAAAGAATACGGATCCATCAACAGTGGCCTTTATTGAGCAGATAACTGTTTCAAAATGGCATTTGGCTTGGGAAGAAATCTGAAAAAAGTCAGATGTTTGTGTTTCCTATTAATCTGAAGATGAAAGTGAACAGTCTCTTCTTTTGTGGGCTCACAAACCTGCATTTGGATTCTTAGTTAGAGAGTAGTAATTTCTCTCTGTAAGGTCATTATTAGATTTAGCTGGTCTTCCTCTTGTTTTCCTTATAATGGGATTAATTCTGTGTAAACTCTCTGAATAGTATCCCTTAATTGATGGTGTGATTATACCTGGTTTCTATTGTCCTGAGGATAAGGGGAGGTTGGGAGAGGATGCTGACTGGTGATCCTAAGTTATTAAGGCTTCTTTAGAATTGTTAAAGTTTTCTAATCCCAGCACACGAAAAGGGCTGTCTTCCGTCACGCTAAAGGAACGCTCCACCAAACATTACTTGGAATGTTAAATTCTTTTACCTTTTCAGCTGAGAAAAACCAAAATAGTTCCACTTCCCCCATTTATCAAGCTGGTAGGATGTGTGAGTCCTAATCCGGTCAAGGCTGAGACTTACCCTTTGAAGTCCCACTAGGAGTACTGGATATCATGGATTGACTGATTTCTGGCTTCTCATGGTCTAAGCTGGCTGGCTCTGCTTTCAGCTCTGAGCATAAGAACGCTTTGCGTAGTTTGTTACTATTGAACTTGTCTGTATAGTGTGTTAAGCCAGTTATTCACCAGAGAGTAGACTGCAGTATCATGCTCATTGCTTTCCTATGTGTATTTTATTTTAACTATGCGTATTCTTAACCTAAAATCTGAGTAGATTAGTTATTTGACATGAATTCAAAGCTCAAAGCTGCCTCTCTTCTTCTATAAGAATTACTCAATGATAACTGATTTTACATTTCCATGTAGAAGACTTCAAATCTGAGGAGAACGTCCAGGTAGACATGAACACTGCTGTGCCATGTTAGACTAAACTATAATACAGTACCAGGACGTAAATTCTCTTTGACTCTTTTGGGGATGATTTTTGTTTATTATTGGGACCCAAGGTTTTCTCCACCTTTGATACAGATGGTTCACCAAGGCAACCTTTGTTTAGAAAGAACTTCACCTGATATTGTGACTTCTTTGCTTTTCAAGCCTGGGTCACTAAAGAACGCAGTTTGTATAGAGTATGCTGACTATTCTTAGAGCAACAGGTACATCTAGCTGGCCTCAAGTGAATTTCTCCTTAGGAATCAAGTTTTGTTGTTTTGTTTTCATATTTATAAGTCAGGCTGCTTCCCTATTTTCTAGGTGAAAAGTATACTGTGATTATCTTCAACAGAATTTTTATCTAGGCTTACTGTCATCACAGTTTCAGAGCTACCTCCCCTGACTTCTGATTGACGCGTATGGTACAAATGCATACTGATTCTAATCAGCCCAAGGAAAACGTTTTTGTTGTGTGCCCTCAAGTTGATTCTGACTCATAGTGACCCTATAGGACAGAGTAGAACTGCCCAGTTTGGTTTCCTAGGCTGAACTCTTTACAGGAGCAGATCTACAGGTCCTTTTTCCCAGAGCCTCTAACAGGTTTGAACCACTGACCTTTTGGTTAGCAGCCAAGTGCTTAAGCATTGCACCACCAGGGCTCCTTGAGGAAAACGTTAGGGGAAGGTAAATCTGCAAAGCCCTAATGCATTCCAAAGCAAGTATACAGCACTTGGATTAACTATATCACTGCTTCTCTCCAGTTGAGAGTTGACTGGCATTCCTGGTATTTGGAAGTTGCATTTTAGCCCTGAAATGAAATTAAACGTTGGTCTGGACAGTATGAATGGAGCAAAACTAGCCCTGCATTACCTTAGGCTGACTTCTAAGCAAAACTCAATGCCTTGGCATTCTCTTACCTACTCTCGTGATAAAACAAACTGCATGTAGCCTAGAGTTGAACAACTTGGGCCTTTGTCTACTCACATTTGACTTTGGAAACCATTAGGATTTTACCCCCTGGAATGGTGCAGTACTCATGACACTGTGCATGTGTGTTGGAAGCCTCCTCCAGGTTCGGGGCACAGGCTGAAAGGAGATTGCCCTGGAGCGTGCTGATGATACCAAAGGAGGGAGGTACAGGGAAGGTCTGTGAAAGTGAATCACTGTGGAAGATACTTGTCCTACTGACCCATACTATAAAGATCTTGTAATTAGTTCTTATTGTTGAAAAAGTTCTAGCTACTAAAATGGGTTTTTGTTCACTGTTGTGGGCAACAGACTTGAAGTTAGGGGATGAAGGCCAGGTGTTCATTGCCAGGTGATCATTCTCATTGCATCAGCCTTAAGGACCACTGGCCTGTGCTTGAAGAAGCAGCTTAGGGTAGGTTGGTTGGTTGTTTTTCCCATATGAAGTATAACTGAATAGTAACATCTTATTAGAATTCTGAAAGGAAATCTGGTAGGGAAAGCCTTTACACTGACCTTGAATTCAGAAAGCAGGCTGTTGAGCAAAGAGACAAAATAAGCTAAATTTGTATCTTGCTTTAGCTCTGAATGGAGCTGCTTATTGGGATAGATTTAGTTACCCCTTCTCCGTATTTATAATTCTCTGTATTGCAGAATCCTTGGTATATTTTTAGAAGCTGTCTGCAAGTAGCAAATGGGTCTCTTTCTTTTGTTTCTCCTTTCTTCACAGTTTTGGGGAATTTTGCCTGGTTCACCTGCTACTGAAGAGAAATCCTGTCATGTTCTTCCAGCACTTCATTGAATGTATTTTCCACTTCAATAACTATGAGAAGCATGAAAAGTATAACAAATTCCCCCAATCAGAGAGGTTAGTGAATCGGCTCAGATGGTCTCTTTTCTTTGGCAAGACTTGGGCAGACCTCAGGAGATGTTCAGCTATTTTGTGTACAGTGGTTAGATAAAGACCCTAATGTATTTGTTGTAATGGTCCTTGCTTTCCTTGGTAGGGCAAGGTAAGACAATAAATTGCTGAGGGAGGTGTCTGTGCTGAGCATTAGCCTCATAAGTGTGCTTCAGCCCTTAGCATGTAGCTTTTAGGATGTTGTTACAATGCTGTATAAGGGTTCTTTGTATCCGTGCTCACACGATGCAGTAAAATTGTCCTGTTTTGCCATAGAGAGAAGCGACTTTTTTCACTGAAGGGAAAGACAAACAAAGAGAAACGAATGAAAATCTACAAGTTTCTTCTAGAGCACTTCACAGATGAACAGCGATTCAATATCACTTCTAAAATCTGCTTAAGTATTTTGGGTAGGCCTAGTGTGTTTGGAATAAATTGTGTATTTAAAAGTAAAACACTGTATTGAAAATGGACCCAGCTGGTCTGTGGCAAATGTGAACCTCCCAGTGCAGGAAGACCCTTGTCTTTGTTCTTCCTCAACATCTGCTGGTCCCAGCAATGGTACTGCAGCCCAGACTTGCCCTCCTTGCACGATTATATCCCATTTCCCAGACAGTGGTTAAAGTTTCCCAGAGGCTGATCTTTTGTGCTTTCTTTCATTGTGCTTTCTCTCAGCGTGCTTCGTGGATGGTGTCCTTTCCCTGGATATGGAAGCCAATGAGTTACTGTCAGATACGTTTGAAGTCCTCAGCTCAAAGGAGATCAAACTTTTGGCAATGAGGTCTAAGCCAGATAAGGACCTCCTGATAGAAGAAGATGACATGGCCTTGGCCAATGTAGTTATGCAGGAAGCACAGAAAAAGCTCATCTCACAAGTGAGTGTGGGGTCTTCCCTAAGACTGCCTGGTCTCACTCTGCTGCCTCTGTTTGCCCCTCAGGTATTGGTGGTATACTTGAGATCCTGATTTCATCCTTACCCATGGCTTTAACTCTCTTCTAAGTGGTAATTATTCCCAAACCAGTGTTTCTAGCTCCAACTTCTCTGTGAGCCTGAACCCAGTTCTACTTGCCTGCCTGGATGTGCCTCAGGCATCTCAGACTTACTGTGTCAAAACTAATCATCTTTTCCTCCCATTCTTCTCCTTCTTCCCACCACTGTCCACACCCCAAGAAAAAAATAATAAACAAAAAAACATAACTTGCTTTTCCTTCTCCCTTGGTCTCTATTGTGGAGAATGGAACCATTATCTATGAAGATGTCCAAAAGGGAAACCTAGTGCTCTCCAGGCCAGAGTTTGTCATGCCAAGTGTAGGCTTTATTTGGCCAGTGTGTGTAGACATTTGAATCTGATTGGTTTAGGTGAACAGTTTAGTTGCCATGGTCCTCACCAGGCCCATGTTCCTGTGCCTCGCCTGGATTGTTAATTTATATTCCCTACCTGATCCCTGGAGGCTTTTGACTCCAAAGACAGAGACTTTCTTCTCATCCAGTTTGCCACCACATCCTGTGCATGTTATCTTGTGAATCCATCTCTGTTTTGCATTTCCACTGGTACTGAAGTAATTTAATTTACACCTGTGCCATTTCCAGCAGTTTTCTTAGCACCTTTTTGTCTAGTTTTTTTCCAGGCCATGCACCACATTAATGCCAGAGCAGTCTTTCTTAAATACAAATTTGATCATTTTATTCTCCTGCTTAAAGTAGGTTCGAGGCAGATTAACTACAAAGAGGCACGGAGGGGTGGGTACTTTCTGAGGTGACGGAAATGCTTTATGGTTACTCAATATACAGTTTCGTCAAAACTCACTGAACTGTTCACTTAAAATGGGTAAATTGTATATAAGTGATGCCTCACTGAAAATGTCATTAAGAAGTAGATTGGTGGCTTCCTGTTCCCTTCTGAATAAAATCCTGATTCTCTCTCAAAGCGTACAACTCTTCTTTATGTGTGTGATGCCTTCTCAACCTTTCCTCATCTCTCTGACATCCATTTCAAATTACTGTTCTTTCCTCAAATGCAAAATGTTCTCTCATGCTTCAGTTCCTTTGCACACTGGCTCTTCTCTCTGGAATGTCCCTTCCGAACACCCTGTTCTTCTTTCCCCCTACTAATTCCTACACATCCTAAGTGTCATCTTTTCAGATAAACCTTCCTTGATACACATTCCTGTCTACTCCATTCCTGCCTGGGCATCCCTCTTCCATATGTGCCATAACACCCTGTATATCTCTCTCACTTACCGTAATATATACACACTGATCTAGAAGCAACTTGAAAGCAGGAATTCTTGCCTTCACTTCTCTGTCTGCAAAGGTGAGCTTTGGTCTGGCGCCAAGAAGGTGTTGAGTGAATGCATATAAGCTGCTTTTCTAATTTATTGTGGTAAAATTATATGTAACAAACATTTGCCTTGTTAACCATTTTTTATGATGTAAGCTGTTTTTCATAAATGCTTTTTATCATATTGGGAAATTTCTCTCGTATTCTTAGTTTTTTAGTGTTTTTATCATGAACTGGTGTTAGATTTTGTCAAAAGCCTTTTCTGAACCAGTTGAGATGATCATGTGGTTCTTTCCCTTTGTTCTATTAATATGGTAAATTTACATTAATTGATTTTCTTATGCTGAACCACCTGAGATGAATCTCCTTTGGTCATGGTACATAATCCTTTTTAATATGCTGTTGGCTCTGGTTTGCTACTGTTTTTGTTGAAGATTTTTGTATCTGTATTCATAAGGGGTATCCTATAGTTTTCTTGTGGTGTCTTTGTCTGGCTTTGATGTCAGGGTATTGCTGGCTGTGGAATGAATTTGGAAGTTCTATAAACTACTTTTTCAGACTGTCTGTTCAGGTTTATATTTATTACATTGTCTATTTTTCTGCCTATTGCCCTCCTGTTGCAGAAACTGGTAACACTTTAGAAGTGAATGGTTTATAAGCAAGGAACATATACTGGTGACTTGAGGTGAGAAAAAGAGTACTTTTCAGGGTCACAAGGATGAATCTTGCATATATGAGCTACTGTAATGAGTCATTTTTAATTCTAAGAGATTTCTGATAAAACATTTGTAGTTAGTGACCATTCTTGGTAAGGATTATCAAGACTTGATCAATCAGGTATATGTAAATGCAGAGCACTTTTCTAAATGTGTGCAGAGTTTACCAAAAAAGGCAACAAGAGATAGAATTGACTCTCTTTGTGCTTAGCAATTTTTAGACTATTATCAGTTACCCAACAGGGACATATAATGTCCCTTTGGATACCCGGAGATGAGCTAGTTTTCATTCCCAGAGGGAAGATGCTGAATGGGTGGACTGAATGTGGAGCCAAGAGTCAAGGGTCTGCGATGGGTTTGCGGTGGTTTGGCGCTTTTGTCAAGTTCTTCGATGTATTTCTAATTCTTTTTCCTCGTGTAGGAAACAGGAATAGTATGCATCCCCTTCCTACTTTACAAAGCATTTTGAGTGTTTTGAGGCAGTGCTTATAAAGTCTTCAGTGCAAAAGCAGTGGGTCCTATATAGTCACAATATCAGAAGCAAAAATAAACCTGTATAGAATGCTGTTGTTGTTAGGTGCGATCGAGTCGGTTCCAACTCATAGCAACCTTATGTACAATAGTATGAAACACTGCCCGGTCCTGTACCATCCTCACAGTCATTGCTGTGTTTGAGCCCATTATTGCAGCCACTCTGTCAATCCATCTCATTGAGGGTCGTCCTCTTTTTCACTGACCCTCTACTATACCAAGCATGATGTCCTTCTCCAGGGACTGGTCCCTCCTGACAACACATTCAAAGTAAGCGAGACAAAGTCTCGCCATCCTCGCTTCTGAGAAGCATTCTGGCTGTACTTCTTTCAAGACAGATTTGTTCATTCGTCTGGTAGTCCATGGTATATCTGATACTCTTCGCCAACACCATAATTCAAATGTGTCAATTCTTCTTCTGTCTTCATTTTACATTGTCTAGCTTATGAGGCAATTGAAAATACCATAGCTTGGGTCAGGTGCACCTTAAATGCTAGATCAGCTATACTGAAAGAATTAGGTCAAGAAAAAGTCAAAGGTCATTCAGAAGTTTATACATCTTGTTTGTGTTACTACAGGTTCAGAAGAGGAATTTCATAGAAAATATTATTCCAATTATCATCTCCCTGAAGACTATGCTTGAGAAAAGTAAGATCCCAGCTTTGCGGGAACTCATGGCTTATCTCAGGGTAAGTGGTGACCGTGTACTTTTGTGGTTATGGCCCACCACCATTCCACCACTCAGCATCTTCTGGTAGTTAGTGTGGTTAAAACAGCTGGTGAATGATGGAGCTCAAAATGCTACAAAACCAATGTTATCTTTTTTAGAAGCATGCCTGCCAGACAGGCTTTTGGCTGTTGGGGAGAAGTTGGAGAGTTTCATTGAAGTTGATTCTTTCCTTTTCCATTGGGGCTGGGAAGAGTTGACTCGCTATACAGAGCATGATTCTGATTAGATTCAATGTTGAGGATTTTCTCCACTGGGGTCAAGAACAGAGTCAACCTCTTAGCACATTTTGGTGGGGGATAAAGTGAAGATTGGTCATCATGTGTAATTGTAGGGTGTTTACCTTTAACACATTCTCAGATTACAAGATCAGGAAATCATAGCCCTGTAACAGCGTGCCTTGAGGAATACCTGTTGGCTGGCTGCCATTGAGGGTTGGCCTGTCTGTGAAGCTAAGGACCACAAAGTTTCAGTCTGTGCAGACCTCCATGAGGGCAACTTCTTTCAGTCAGATACAAAAGCAACATTTTTTCCCTTTAGCTTAACACGGTTATTTCCCTGTTCATATGATGCCTTTTTCGTCCTTAAAAAAAAAAAAAGGACTACTACAAAATTACACTGAGTATACTTTTTAAAATAGCTTTTTGTCCTAGAGGAGTTAAGGTGAGAAAGATGGGCTCATTGTATGGAAGAAAGAACTTCCAATTATTTTTATATTTTTATTGTCTTGTTTTAAGCCTCAGGAAGGAAAAAAGAAGAGCTTAGATCCTAGGAACACTTAGAGGTTTAAGAAAATAAATCCGTCTCCTGTTTCTGAGGTACATGCAGAGGATGGTGCGGTGTTGTTTTAGTTCTGTAACAGCGTTTCTTCATTGTAAACCTTCTGGAGTGGCTAACTGCTTGACTACTAGCCAAAAGGTTGGCAGTTTGAACCCAGAGGCGCCTCGGAAGACAGGTCCAGCGATCTATTTCCGAAAGATCATAGCCTTGAAAACCCTATAGAGCAGTTCTACTCTGTAACACACGGGGTCATCATGAGTCAGAATCAACTTGACGGCAACTAAGAACAACAACTAAAGAAGCTAGAGCGAGCCCTGCTTTTCCTGGCAGCTGTAGAATTGATGGATAGCCTTCTCTTTGTTGGACTTCCCTTATAGTTGGGGCTTTTCTTCCCCCTAACACTGTTAGGCAAAATGGGTTCTTTTCTTAGCAAAGGGACTTTGCCCTAGCAGCCCTCTATAAGACCTGAGAAAGATAAAGACATGGTATGATGAAAGTTTTCTGCAGCATCTTCAGAGAGGACACAAGGATGGGAATAGAGCTGTAGTTCTAATTTCCTGAGAGTCAGGGGGAAAGCCAGTGTACACAGATGAGTAGGTTTTAGATTGCACTGCATCCTGTGACTGACCCCAGAGGCCCTGTCAGAGCCAGGGCAGCACCATTCGTACCTACCTGCCTGACCTCTGAATTCACGTCTGACTGGCCTGCCTCAGTGATCACAAGATCCTTTGAACTGGTGGTAACCCAATGCCAGGGCAGACCACCGAGATGCATCATTGTCCCCGTCCCAGCCTCAGGGATGGAAAGGGGGTAGCAATTGGTGACATTCCTGTACCATTATCAGTTCTGTGCTAGGCTAAAACTGCATGATTCCATGTCCTTTATCCCACCAGGAACTGGGAAATTGCCTGTTAACTGTCAGATAGGCAGGACGCTTCCTAAGAGACCAAAACTATCAGTTAATGCCTCACTTATTGTGTGGTAAATACAAGTGTGCTTGGCATTTCTTGGGATATATCATTGTGCTAATTAACCTGTTAGTTAATGTCACAGAAATAGTTTTCCGTCAGCAAAATAATTTTTTATTTTATACCTCAGGAAAATGATTATTATGTAATTTTATGTTGGAGAGAGCTTATTTTTTAATTCAAGAAAACATCAAAGAATGCTTCTGGGTCTCTTTCAGGAGGTGATGCAGGATTACCGAGATGAAGTCAAGGACTTCTTTGCAGTTGACAAACAGCTGGCATCAGAACTTGAATATGACATGAAAAAGTACAGTGAACAGCTAGTCCAGGAGCAGGGGCTGGCGAAGCAGCCAGACGCGAACAGGACAGCTGAGGGGGGCAGCATGGCACCAGTGGGGCAGGTAGGAAGAAACCCACCTTGAGCTTGATCCTGCTTTCCCAGCTTTTTTTGTGATCAGTTCTTCCAATATCTCTCTCAGAATCTAGAGATGATATGAGGTCAGGCTGGGTTAAACCTTTGTGATTCCTTTTTTTTTCTCGGCCACCATCATGTTCATGTCTTAAGGGAGATATACAGGCAGCTCAGCCGTGGCCGGCTTCCTTCCCACAGGGCCATGCCACATGAATTTGTCTGGAACATCGTAATAGCAGTTGGGGGAAATGTGTGAGCGCCCAGAAAGCAAGCTGGCAGTCAGGGTATCTGATCTTTGATTATGATGATTCTAGATAATTAGCTCTTCCTAGGTGTTTTTGTTTGTTTGCAGTCTTGCCCCCAACACGTCTGCCTCTGTAGAGCTTATTGTCACTTGGGGTATTTCTAGGCTTATCTGCTGCTCACTTCAGAAGCATAGTGTTCTACTGCCCCGAGAAATCCAGACAGATCTGCTATACTGAAAAATGATGAGGACAACTACTTTACTCTTTTGTCTCTTCTTTAATACCACAACATCTACTTGTGGCAGTCTTCCAGTGGTACTGTTTCTAAAGACAAAGCTCTATTTGCCCAGGGCTGACATGTTTTTAAAATAGATTACTCACAGACTTGCTTATAGCGTGTGAAGAGTCTATAGAAGACGAGTGTTAGTGTTAGAAGGTAAATACTCTTTATTTTCTCAAACAGGTTGCTCTGAGTTTAGAAATAATGCCAGCTCCTGTTGGCCAAGAAAATGCAGCTGTGGCCCCTGGTGTGAGCCACCCCTCAACACCCAGATCAAGCACTGGTAGAGTACCTTCTGTGCCTTCTCCACCTGACACTGGGCCGTTGAAGATGTTAATGCCCAAAGCCAGGTATAGTGTGTGCGGAATCTCAGAGGCCCTGCTCCTGTGCTAGGCCTCGTCTGTGTAAGCGCTCCCAGCAAGGTCTGAGCGAGTGTAGACAAGTGATCCCCTGGAAGAGGGTGTATGGTGATCACACTGTGTTCACTCTCACTTTGTGCGGGGTCTGCAATTAGAAAATCAGTGTTTGTGGTATGTTCTCCTCCACAGGCCCATGTCCCTGAGTACCATTGCAATCCTAAACTCTGTCAAGAAAGCTGTGGAGTCGAATAACAGGCATCGGAGTCAGAGCTTAGGAGTGCTGCCTTTCACTTTGAATTCCAGAAGTTCGGACAAGAGCAGCAGTCATGGTATGCCTGTAGATTGGCACCAGGAGAGTAACAGACCTCCTTGGTGTTCCATCTCGTTACAACAAATAACATTAATTGGGGATTTGGAGTTATAGATAATAAAATAATGCATATTTATGATAAAGATTTGGAAAATGGAGCAAAAAGTAAAATTCATTCATAGCAGTTGTTTATTCTTCCAATATTTCTATTCCTCACACTTATGTGTGTTTTATGTATTACTTATAAAACTGTGATCATAGTGTGCATTGTTTTATAAACTTCCAAACACACACTTGTACTAATATGTAGTTGAGAACCGCACAGCTTTTCTTGTGGCTTTATAGCATTTCATCTTGAGGAAGTACTACAACTTATTACTACCCTATTCTTGAAGATGTAGGTGTTTTTTCAGTTTTTTGATATAAATAATGTCACAATGAACATCGTTGTACATAGAGCTTTGTATGTATGTAACCCTTAGGATTAATTTCCAGAAGTCAAAGGCCATGAATATTTAAAAAGGTCTTCCATGATTCATACCCAGCTACGCCCCCACGCTGGTGCATGAGAGTCTGTTTTCCTCCTTAGGAACATTGGGATTTATAGTTCTGCATTGTCTTTTCTGAGTTTTATAGACCAAAAATGTCATTGCTTTAATTTCCATTTCTTTGAATCCTGGTAAGGATGGACATTTTTCTTCATGTTTATCATGTATTTGTATTTCCTTCAGAATTGCCTCTCTATAGGAACACTTCAAATATTGAGGATATTAACTTTATTGTATATCTTGCACATGTTTTCTCATTTGTTGTTTTGCTTTTTCATACTGTTTTGGTGTGTTTGAGACAGGTAAAACTTTTCCATTTAATCCCAGGCTCTTCATATAGCTTGAACCAAGAATCTCGCGGATCTATCGACCATCTGACTAAACGAGCAATCAGCACCCCTGACCGTAAGTAACTAATTTGAAGTTGGCTGCTCCTAGCCCTAGCTCATTATGTATTTGCTAGAGCTGCAGTAAAACACTTTCTGTTGCAAGATAGTTCTTGAAGTAAAAACTCCTGATACTCAACATGATAGTGCATTATATCAGACTGAATGGTTCATAATAATTATATTAACTCTATTAATTGAGCACTTACTGAATGTCAAGCCCTCTTCCCAGTGCCTGTACATGTATTAATGCATTTAAACCTCAACCATGCTATGTTGTTAGGTGCCGTCGAGTTGGTTTCAAGTCATAGTGACCCTGTGTACAACAGAACAAAACACTGCCCCATCCTGTGCCATCCTCATAATTGTTGCTAGGTTTGAGCCATTGTTGCAGCCACTGTGTCAATCCATCTCTTTGAGAGTCTTCCTCTTTTTCACTGACCTTACCAAGCAGGATGCCCTTCTGTAGGGATTGATCTCTCCTGATAACATGTCCAAAGTACATGAGACAGAGTCTCACCATTCTCTCTTCTGAGAAGCATTTTGGCTGTACTTCTTCCAAGACAGATTTGTTCAGTCTTCTGGCAGCGCATGGTGTATTCAGTATTCTTCGCCAACACCATAATTCAAAGGCATCAATTCTTTTTCGAACTTCCTTATTCATTTTCCAGCTCTCCATGCATATGAGGCAATTGAAAATACCATGGCTTGGGTCGGGCAGACCCTAGTCCTCAAAGAGACAACTTCGCTTTCAACACATTAAAGAGGTCTTTTGCAGCAGATTTGCCCAATGCAGTACGTCGTTTGATTTCTTGACTGCTGCTTCCATGTGCATTGATATGGATCCAAGTAAAATGAAATCTTGGACAACTTCAATGCTTTCTCCATCTATCATGATGTCACTTATTTGTCCACTTGTGAGGATTTTTGTTTTCTTGATGTTGAGGTGTAATCCATACTGAAGGCTGTGGTCTTTGATCTTCATCAGTCAATGCTTCAAGTCCTTTTCAGTTTCAGCAAGCAAGTTGTGTCATCTGCATATCACAGGTTGTTAATGAGTCTTCCTCCAATCTTGATGCCGTGTTCTTCCTGTAGTCCAGCTTCTCAAATTATTTGCTCTGTATACAGATTGAATAATTATGATAAAAGGATATAACCCTGACACACACCTTTCCTGACTTTAAACCACACAGTATCCCCTTGTTCTATTCAAACAACTGCCTCTTGGTCTATGTACAAGTTCCCCATGAGCATAATTAAGTGTTCTGGAATTCCCATTCTTTGCAGTGTTTTCCATAATTTGTTATGATCCACACATTCAAATGCCTTTGCATAGGCAATAAAACACAGGTAAACATCTTTCTTGTATTCTCTGTTTTCAGCCAAGATCCATCTAACATCAGGATTGATATCCCTTATTCCATGCCCTCTTCTGAATCTGGCTTGAATTTCTGGTAGTTCCCTGTCGATGTACTAGTGCAACCACTTCTGAATTATCTTCACCAGAATTTTATTTGTGTGTGATATTAATGATATTGTTTGATAATTTCCACATTCTTTTTTATCACCTTTCTTTGGAATGGGCAAAAATATGGGTCTCTTCCAGTCGGTTGGCCAGGAAGCTGTCTTCCAAATTTCTTGACACAGACGAGCGAGCACCTCCAGCGCTGCATCCGTTTGTTGAAACATCTCAACTGGTATTCCATCAGTTCCTGGAGACTTATTTTTCACTATTCCCTTCAGCGCAGCTTTGACTTCTTCCTTCCGTACCATTGGTTCTTGACCATAATGCTACCTCCTGAAGTGGCTGAACAGCAACCAGTTCTATTTAGTACAGTGACTCTGTGTATTCCTTCCATCTTCTTTTGATGCTTCCTGTGTCGGTTAGTATTTTCCCCGTAGAATCCTTCAATATTGCAACTCGAGGCTTGAATTTTTCTTCACTTCTTTCAGCTTGAGAAACGCCGAGTTCTTCCCTTTTGGTTTTCTATCTCTAGGTCTTTGTACATGTCATGATAATACTTTACTTTGTCTTCTCGAGCTGCCCTTTGAAATCTTCAGTTCAGCCCTTTTACTTCATCATTAGTACCTATGAGGTAGGTACTAATGGTGCCTTATTTTACAGATGGTGACACTGAAGCCCACACAGGTTAAGCTGCTTCCCTTGGCAGTGCAGCTCTGGAGCCAGCCCTATTCACCACTGCCCACGTGCCTCTCTGCGGGCCCAATTGTGTTAAGGCTGTTCTGCTCTGTAGGATGATCAAATGTCAGCAGTAGAAGGCACCTTGTATGTTATCTAGTTTAGCTTCTGAGGAAATGAGACTTGAGGGTCAATGGTGTATTGAGGATTGCACTGCTAGCTAAGCCAGAACCTATGTCTGCTCACTCCCCGTTAGGTATTTTCTAACACTCTGTTCTTTCATTTCAAGCTGGAGGTGAGCTAGAAGTGTAGAATATTTTTTCCCATTATGTTTTTATAACTTTTTATTGTCTCAAACCCCATAAAAGCTGTTATTTTCAGAAAATTATTATAATATAGAGAGATTTCTTCCTGTCCAAAGCCTGTAGTCTTTTATTTACGAGGCCCTGCCTGGTGTGTCTTCTGTGCGCCCCACTTCTCGCTGCCGTTCCCTTGCTCTCCCGAGTACCACCCTCTTTGAGTGCCTGCACTGAGCCATGGTCTCCCTGCCTCAGGGCATCCATCCCCCACCTAGCCACCACCTGTTCATGTTCATCCTTCAGAAGCCGTCCTGGCCTGCCAACTGGATCATGCCCCTCTCTTGGCACACTGAACTTCTCAGCAGTCGTCTCCACGAGGTCTTGCTGCATCACCCTGCTTTGTGCCCACAGGGCCTGCCGCAGGGCCTAGAACATGCCAGGTGTGAAACAGATACTTGCTAGTGATCCAGGATGGCAGAGCTGGGCGTAAACTCAGGCTTTCTGATTCAGTATCTGGGTTGCTTTACAGCCATACTTCTCTCACAGCTCTCATGCGTTAGAATGAAGGAGAACGGTGTGAAGAGGTTCCCCTTGGTCATAGTGTAGCACAAAGCGTCAAGCCATTCAGTCCTGCATTCAGTCAGTACACACTTAGTGAGCACCTTTTGTGTTCCAGATCCTTGCCTTTTGCTTCTGTTAACCCTGAGGTGCTGTGGCCTCTTAGAGTATTTAACAGGTTATAGATAATTTTCATCTAAATCTCCATTTTACGGGAGATTTAATGGATGAACAGAACTCCCACCCCCATCTTTCCTCAGATGACAACCAGATCATAGCAGTTTTTATCATTTACGGCAGTGAGTAATTTTGGGTTCCTGTATATTGAGCAGGTGTAGTGTTAGATATGTAAATAATTCACCCTCTTCCAAATGCAGATGTTTCCTGTCTGTTCTGTACTCCTGGCTTGGGGGCACCGAGAGCTTCTATTCTGGTGGTTGGGTGTCATCTGCCACAGGAGCAGGAGGGCTGGCTCACTCCAGCTCTGCTCCCCTGGGCCCTGGCTTCAAGCTCTTGCTCTGCTCCCCTGGGCCCTGGCTT